CTAGAGGCTCGCTCGAGCGACCAATGCAGTAACTTTTCACCTGAGTTTCGCCCAATTATAATATAGTTATACAACGTTATCAAAGTATGATTTTGCTAAACTAAAAATTAATACTTTTTTTTATACATTTCTCGATTTTTTTGTTAATAACGTATCAAAAAAAAATTTTCAGGGACGCTGCCAACCCCCGCAGGCCCCCACCCCTTCACCTCTACCTTTAGGCCTCCCTATTTCCAAAGTCTAGCTCCGCCCCTGGTCCCACATGCCACAAACCATCCATTAACGGAATACACACTCTAAACTCGCACGCAGTTAAATCATCTTCCATCAAAATCCCTAACCCACAATATAAATCTCATTCTCAATTTGTACAAGTAAATGAATTGAACAGAAGAGAAGCACTGGGCATTGGGTTCTCTTTCGGTATTCTGCAGTTTCTTTGGCATCCACATTCTGCCACAGCAGATGAATCTAGTGCCTGTGAGTTCACTGTAACGCCATCTAGACTTGCTTATTGCGATAAAGTTGTTGGGTCTGGTCCTGAGGCTGTTAAAGGGCAATTGATTAAGGTAATTTGAGATTTCTTATTTTTCAGAAATTTTCAAAATGGCATTCTCATAATGTTTACAATGAAATGGCTTTGCTTTCTAGTTTATAGTTAGTTCTTCTTATGAATGCTTCGACTAACTCAGTTGTCATTCTCTTGATTTATTCTTGATCGATAACACCTTGAAATTTAGTTATATGTAAGTAAAATTGCTCGATATATTTCTTAAGATATAAAATTTGTTTTGTGTAGACATATTAGCTTTTCATCAAGTAGTTTCGGATAATGTCATGCAAATTTTCTCAGGCACATTATTTAGGAGGCCGGAGGATGGGAAGGTTTTCGATAGCAGCTATAATTGTGGAAAGCCCCTTTCATTTCGTATTGGTGTTGGCGAGGTATGTGCATTAACAAATTTTGTTCACCCACAATATTTGCAGTAGAATTCGATATATCTCTGAAATCAGTTATTTCTAAAATCTAAGTGTGATCAATTAACCTTACATTTCATTTCTGTCCGAGGAGAAATTTACCGTTTTAAAGGCTTCTTAGTACTAAATGGTGAAGGCATAGGCATAATGGTGTCAGTCAAATGCCAAAACTTGAATTGTGTCATGTAGTATACACTGGATTTCTAGACATGGCATCATGATTTTTCAGAAAGTTGCCTTCTGATTAGCAAATTGGCGATACTCATGACTCTGTCATATGTATTCATTCATGTTAGAAACTTCTAACTTGGAAAATTGTACAATTCATTTGTCTAATAATTTCTATTAATCTCAAAATCAGGATTGAACTTGCTTTCTGAACTGTTTTGATAAATATGGATATTGTGTTACCATTCATGCATCACAACAATATTAATTTGAAGAACTTGACATTTAAACGCATAGCCTAACATATAGCAATTAATGTATTCATTCAATTTTAGGGATTGAACTCATACAGTTCATTGACCTCTGAGAGCATTCACCTCTTAAAATGAATACAAAATAAAGAAGGCATACCTTTGCGTTTCCACTACTTCACTCAATATTGAAGACAAATTTAGTCACAGAAGAAAATAGATGCATTCTTCAACAAATGACAATTACAACAACAAATTTTCTCCATTTTGGTATGATCGTGCATCCATCTTAGTATCCTCATTTCCACTACTTTCGTCTTGTGAATATATGAAAATTATAATGCCTACATGATCATGATCATGATCATCTCTATGGAACTTATTGTTAAAACTTAGCGTTCTATCTTAAAAGGTCAACCTTATTAAGATGAGTGACTCAAAACCTTTATAAATTGGTTTATGTTTCCATCTTCATTTGAGCAAACCAATCTTGAAATTTGTGTGCTCGTTTTTTGAGTCTTAATCAGATCGAATTGCTCATTGGAAGGTCAACCTTACTAGAGAAGTAGCCCAAATCTTTATAAATTGGTTTATGTTTTCATCTTTATTTAATGTGGCATTTTATCCCTTAACACTTGCGGCATGATGTCTTTATGTGTCATGGGTCATCAGGGGATGGGATCGGGGAATTCTAGGAGGTGATGGAGTTCCTGTCATGCTTGCTAGTATATAAGCGTTCTCTTACATGAAACTTGCTTCATACTTTACACGATCAAGTACCATATTCTATGTGACCTCTTTTAGGGGGGGAAACGTAAGCTGAGGATTCCTCCAGACCTCGGATATTGAATGAGAGGAGCGGGATGCAGAGGAGGTAAACAAATCTCGATTAGTTTATGAGAAAATTCTGCTACGATTTTCTGCTTGGGCATCTTGATGGCTTAGAAAATGAACATGGAACAAGGCTTTGGAACTACTTATATTGTTTTTGATGTCAGGTGCATGCATTATTCTGCCTGACTCAGTTCTTTTGTTCGATGTGGAGTTCATCGGGAAGGCTTAAAAAGTTCATGATTTTGCTTGTAAGACCGATAAGTATTTTGAAGCATTCGGCTTATTTTTGTTTCCCATGTGAAAGTTAAATCTATCCGGTTCTTAATTCTTCTACAAAAAGGCATTGGATGGAAACTTAAAGAAGAAAACAAAGAGAACTTTTGTAGTTTCATATTCTATAGCGATGTAAGATCTACTAGAAATTATGGCTTTAAACACCTCAGTTCTACGAAGTTTTCTGAAGCAAGAATTTTAACCAGAACGAGCCATTTTTGTTCCGGATCATGAGTAAGAAAAATTGTTCATTTCTTTCTTCCTTGTATTTATCTCTTTTTGAGAAATAATAAACAAAATTGTAGAGGCTTTTTTTTTGGAAATAATAAACAAAATTGTAGAGTTTTGAGATTGTATTTACGAGCATGATAATAGGAAGGAAAAGTTAAAAAAAGCTTATTTGAATAAGAGGATTTCTTAAATCTAATTAAAATATTTTAGAGACTAGAGAAGAAAGTTTACATGGATTAATCATTAATATAACGGTATGTATGTTCGGCGAATAAGTTCAACTTTTCACGAGAATATTTTTCTTTTGAAAAAAGTTATATGTACAGGGGAGTTTCAAAGGGAGCGATGTGACATTATTGGATTGGATGATAAAAAAAAAAATCAATATTTTAAAAATCAACTCAGTCATCGACCATGAAAAGAGAAATGGTCAAAAGTCAAAAGGTAGAATCTGGGTTGAACCAGTGATTTATAAGAAATTAAAAAAATGTACATTTACAAAAATTAGAAAAAACTTATATATACATTCACATACGGTGAACCAGTTAAACCGAGAATAGGTTACGGGTTTTCCAAAAACTAGTTAGTTTAATGGGTCTTGAGATGAGTTTTTAAGTAAAGGTTTTATAAGTCTAATCAGACCGATTTTGGTCCACGTTCTCAATTTTCTCGATTGAACTGCTCGGGTCGATTCGATTTTCAAAACACTGAAAAAAATAGATAGTAGAATAATGCAGTGTTAACACTCGGTATCGGCAAAAAAACTTGTGAAACTTCTATTGGAAATTTACTTAACATGTACAACGGAATCCAAACAATATTTCAATTCTCACCAAGGATCTTCTCTATATTTAGAAAGAAATTATGATAGGAATTATACTCTTGTTGAATTCTATAAACTCTTTTAATTATCTTGAACACAAATAATCACGATTTGCAATTCACAACTGTGTAATTGTTCAACCTCCCATAAAAATCCACATAGGGAATAAGAATTAGAGAATATAGTTTCTCTTTTCTCGTGTTAGTAAGATTATAATTGTGTTTTACGATTTCTCAAACCTTAATAGCTTATTAATAGAAGTCCAATGAGCTTGGCCCACACCAAAACTTAATTCGGTCCCATGTTTAATTAATCTCTATTAATTAATTAATTAGGCTCATTAATAAGTAAACTAATTAATAAATCAATCATGCTATATGCATATCACCACTTATATCATTTTTAACATTTTTCCACTTGGTAACACAACGATGGACAGTTTAAATTTTTAAATTTTTTTTCACCAAATCAACACTTACCAACACATGTCAACTATAATGTCAAAAATCAATATACAAATGGCATTTTCCTTAATTAATTGTCTAACACTTGTCAATTAATTAATTTGTATATTTTATTCTTCTAGTTCTCATTTTGTATGTGAACTATTAGGTTACTAATCACGGTACCTAAGACATGAATTATTATTTTGATCTAATCAAAATAAGATAAATTAAAACATTATTTTAATTTATTATCAATTCATCAAAATTAATCAATCCACACTCATCCTCCCAAATTAACATCTAACAATATGTCGAGACAACACGTGACATGAACTGTATGACAAAATCAAACTTATTTGTTTGCCTTGAAACTATAATTCATTCGTCGACATGATCTAATCAATTAAGAGATATGAAGTGTGTCAATCTCGATTATCGATCATATATTTATTTCCACTATTAAGCCAATATTATTTTTGACTTATGGGTACACCGCAGCAAATGATTGACACACTTCATATCTCTTAATTGATGTAAATCATAATATCTTTCTATTTAAGAGTGACAAATCTTCTATTGATCATTCACTATCTTCATATAATTCTTGACATAGTTGAACGATGTCGTATTAACGACTCTTGGCAGAGGAACATCATTTTCGATTGAATATCCCATGTCCATACACACCTTCCTTTCCGTTCGAATATCCAATCAAAACGTATTGAAATTTGCTTACATGGACGCGAGTGTGCCCGACATATGTTGTCCACGTAATCATTGCAAAAAATGACGTCAACAGATTGGTGCCGTCTATGAGAAATCACACACTAAAACCACGAAAACCCTATGGAAAAAGCTGGTAAGAAGATACGTTCCTTGGAAAATCTCTTGCCTTAGAAGAAAATGAGGTGTTTTTGAAGAAAGAACCACCTAATATTCCAAGAGGAATCGTTTTATGGAGTCCATATATTTCTTGAAGAAAGGAATATAATTCAGTATCAAAGAACTAAGTCGTTGGAGAAGATACTACCGTGAGTTTTGATAATTGAGGAGTCGCGCTCAGGGAGCTAGGGAGAGCCTTGAAGAAGGAAAACTCTCGCATGTTGTTCCAGCAACTCACCATCAATTTCAACAGCAACAAAGGTGAGGTGGATTAAGAGATGGGTCCAGAATAACCGCTAAACTCACTAGGGAGGTGGCCACCATGGCCACAAATATGAGAGATATAACCCAACAAAATATTACCATGCATAAGCTGATAAGGAACATGCAGAGCCAGGAAGGATATTCAGTCCCCCCCCCCGGTACGCAGCTCAATGAAATGCTTTCTTCCACGACCCCCCTCAAGGAAACTATTACTATGGCAAAAAGGAGGTCCAAAGCCAAATGACTGATTACTAACACTAAACGAGGGAAAAAGCTCCTTCGGAAATGGGAGTTGGGATTGATAAATCCAGTGACTATGCCACAGACCGATCCAATGAGGCCCCATTCAAATTTTCGTAAAAATTTTGAACTGGAAGATATATCTCAAAGATCTATAAGTGTCTTTGACATGTTAAGCTCAGGATGACCTAGAAATAGGCAAGGTCAGCCTCCCCTTGCACCATAAATAGGCAACAGGGACCACCTCGGTTCGAAAGACAGAATGAACCTGTCCATTGCAAACTATCCTAGAATCTTTCACCTAGGAATAGGTGTCAGAGGAGGGCAGAACAAGCCAGAAATAAAGTAGGGCCGTCCCCACCACATCGGGAACCGCGGGCCATGGAAGATGAAGATTCTAATGAACTACAAAGGTCTTGCGACCTCGACGATGATGATGACAACTTGCCATTCTCTCCGAGGGATTAGGGATGCTCTTGTCCCAAGCCACTTCGTGCTTCCAAAAATTCTCAAGTATGATGGGAGAGGTGATCCTCGTAGGTACCTCAACTGCTTCAAAACTCACATGAACCTAAGGGGTTCCACTCCCCTTGTAAAGTGTAGAGCTTTCCACTTAACCTTGAGTGGAGCAGCTAAAGTATGGTACACCAGGCTTCCGGAAGAAAGTATCAGAAGTTGGTCAGATTTCAACAAGCTTTCCTTAAGCGCTTCACAATGAGCAAGGAAGGCAAAGGGCCCATACAGCACCTCCAGGACATGAAGCAATAGCAGGGAGAGTCATTGAAGAGTTTCTTGTCTCGTTTCATTGACAAAATAACCTATTGTGTGCAAGTTAACGATAAGGAGCGCCTATTAGCCATAAGAGGAGGCCTGTATATGAATTTTCTCTTTTGGATGGGCGTACAAAACAAAGATCCTACCAATTATGATGCTCTACTGGAGATGATAAGGTGCAAGATCATCAATGAAGAATTGAAGGATCATCGCAATAGAGCCAATAGGGGACTCCCATCTCTCCAGAGGCAACAAGGAAGAGGTCATACTTCCCACTTGATGGAACACCAGGTCGAACAATCAACCACCCTCAACTCAGGGCAACAACTGGCTGCAAAAATAATGAATGCATTATCGACTTTATCTTACAAAGAAGTCAACCCATTGTTGAGGCACACCAAGGAAGGTCTAACCAATAGTTTCCCAAAAGGGAAATGGGGAGAGGACGAAGTTCTGAAATTAGAAATAAGGAAAAGACACCCCTCTATTGCACCTACCATCATTTCTATAGCCATGATATAGCTGACTATGGAGACATTTCAGATACTCTTCTGTTAGGTCGAATGTGGCTAAATACTACTTTACAGCATCTTTGTCAGCTGATTGAGCTTCCCCCCGACATGCTCCATCGCCGCATTAAAGCCTGTAATCTAGGAGTTGAGCTACCCCACATGTTGCTTCAGTGCAACATTCTCATTTTCCGACCTTCCCAAGGCCTCAACAGCCAACTTCTGGTGGGCGTCAGAAGTCTCCACTCACTTATGTCATCTCAAGGCCTCAGTAGCCAACTTATAAGCTTAGAGATTAATCACGACACTCAGATAGTTATCCATATTGTCTCTCTCCAACGGGTCTCCAATGTTTTGTTCTTATAACAAAATATTTAAGTGTTCATTTAAATGTCACTATATTTTAGCTTGTAAGATCAGCTACTCACTTCATGATCCTTTGAAAACCCGCAAGTACACGAGATCGTGGTCGAGTAATAGAATGATGAATAGAGTGTTGAACTTACGAGTATTATGTATTTGATCGAGTTAAAATTAATTGAAACTTTAATCGAATAGCAAACAAATTTTGTTATTTTTGTTTACTAATCCCTAAATTATCAATTAAACTAATGAAAGTAAGTAAATGTGTTTTTTCAAATATGTGAGATGCATTGCTAATATGTCGAACCCCTTTATTATTCCATTTTTAGTGTAACAATTAAAGTAACAATTTGAAATCATTCATGTTAGTCAATATTCCTAATTTAATTGAATAGATTTGCTACATGTTCATTCATGTTAGTCAATGTTCCTTATTTAATTGAAGAGATTTGCTATATGTACACGGGAGTTAACACTCACGTGTACACGCCCCCCTCACAAGAGGGGAGGCCCACAATTATTTATTGGCTTGGGCCCCCATCTTGTGAGGGAAGTGTACACGGTACATTTAGCATTTTTTTAATTGAAAGCTTCTCTCGATAGCGATCAAATTTATTCCGCTTATGTGATCTTTCTATCTCTGGATGAAAGATGCAAATATGATAAATGTATTAGCAAGTATTATAATACCTATTGAAACCATATAAAATATAGATGTATATATCTATCATCTATCGAACATTACAATGTTTATTATGTTCTATTTAAACTCTATTGTTGATAAGTGTGTAAAAACACACTTATTTAGCCTTTATCGTATTTAATTATAATTGAAAATGAGTTGATTTCTAAACATAATCGTGTAAAATTGTATGTTTGTAGGCTTTGTAACCGAATTAGCGAAGAACGGAGCGAAAAGGATGAAGAAGGGACCAAGTTGCATATGTCAGAAAGATGAAGGACTGGTGTGCAATTTATGAAGGACCAAATTGAAATGAAAGTGAAATTATGAGGACTAAATTGTACAAGAGCTAAAGTTGGAGGACCTAGCATGCAAATAGACAGGGACTGAACTGAAGATTCTGCAAAGTTGGGCCTTGCGATCGCATTATAACCTTGCGATCGCCCAAGCATTGGCAGGGACTTCTCCAAGCCAAACTTTAAGCCCATGCGATCGCATTGCTTTTGCCCTTGCGATCGCATGGGCCAAATTTTCATATGGCGGTTTAAATTTTGTTTCTCGATTTCTTTTTCATTTCTTTGATATTTTCTTATGCTTTTAGCCACTTAGCTTAGGTTACTTAATAGTTAAGTATTAGAATTACATTATCTTTGCTTATTTTATTCTTAGATATTTTTTAGATATTTTATTTTCTAATTTTCTCTACAAATACAATCTAAAACCACTCTCTCACACATCTAACCTCCCCCTCCCTCTTGCACGTTTTTTTTCCTTTTCTTTGTCTTTTATTTTTGTTTTATTTAGTTTAGTTGGTTCTTGGTTCATTTGGAAGAAGAATTGGTTGATAACAAAGGGGATTCAACCGTAGAAGTTGGAGAATTTGATGAAGGAAGATCCAAAGCCTACGTTGAAAGGGTTGTATCATTAACTTTGGCTTGCTTTCATTACTTTCTAGCTTTTGTATTGTGTTGGAACATGAATCTCCTTGTTATTATATTTGTGATGATGAACTCAACCCTTTTTGTTGGAATTTATCTAGTAACTTAACCTAAATGCTTCATTAATGTTAAGTATATGTTTATTAGAATTTTATTATGCATTGATTATCAAAATAATAGTGTATCAATCATCATGTTTAAAATGATTTCATTTTTGGTGACGCTTAGATGAAATTATTAGGTTTTACATCATTTTTGGTGACGCTTAAATGATTGTAATTAATTTTAATGTGATTGTTGCAAGATAGTTGCATTTAATAGACCAAAGTGTTCGATTCATCTAATTGACAACTAGATGAAATTATTAGGTAATTATGTGTGACTGTTGAACAATGATTGCATTAATTAGACCGAAATGATTGATACCATGGGTTTGCTTGGTGTTCCAGCCGCGTCTAGGTGATGTAGAAATATACACCTACCTCATGTGATCCGCTGAGTATTTTCACAGAAAATCATGCAATTGGTCAATTTTGTATCAACATAGAAATATGTGGTATGAATTGACTAATTAGGGTTAATATTCGCTCGAAAGAGGGTATTAGCTAAAACTGGAAAATCGGGTCTGACTACTTATTTTGATGATTAGCATTTGCACGTGAATGAATTGACATTAATGAAGTATAGGTTAAGCGAAACATAAATTCCAACATCTTTTCAAAATCAAAACCTTTTTACTTTTTTATCTGCCTTTTTATTAGTTTTTAGTCTAACTGTAGTTTTTAGAATTTTCAAAGCATTTTTAAATCTGTGTGTGTGTCGTCGTTAAAATTAAGACTGATAAACGTCGAATTGAATTTCACACTCTCTGAGGGATCGACTTGGACTCTTTAGGTCCACTTTTACTACTTGTTCTCGACCCGTGCGCTTGCGGCATAGAATCGAAACCCGAACAATTGTCTTTCTCGATAACAATAAAATTCAATAACAATTCAATTGGTGATCAAACAATTGAAAAGAACTATAAGAATGATAATAAATATCCACAAATCAAATTAAATTAAAGTCAAAATAATTAATTAAAAACTAAAAATATCATAACAATAATTCATCTCATTCTAACAAAGTATAAAATTAGCCCAATATATCGAAAATACAAGAAATCATATTTAAGTGAAAAGACATAACCCAGCTTTTTGATAAATTGAGAAAATGAAGGTAAATCTTGAACCTCTTTAATAGTTTCTTGATGAATCTCCACTTGCGTCTTCTCCTCTTTGCCCGAAAATCAAATTTGAATCTTCACTTGATTGAATTCTTGTAAATTCTTTTCAATTCTCTCACAAAAATTATGAATTATCCTCATTTGATAATCATAATTGATGAGTATTGGAGTATGAGATATATATCAGAGGTCTCCGATATGTATTCTGCTGTTATGTATTTATAAGAGTAGAAAATTGGTTGAAAATTACGTCCAAATTGATTTTCAAAAGAGTTCCAATCGAATAAGGAAAGTTCAATTCATGCGTGAATTTTTGTCTCTACACAACAGTCAATATTTTGGCTATAACGTTCTCTTTCGATATCCGATTGAGAAGATTCAAAGTGTTTCAGAAAAATAACTTAAAGGGCTACAACTTTTATAAGTAGAACTTTTCTCATTTGAACTTTTACTATGCCAAAAATGAGTTTCAATATTCGGCTAAAAATGTGAAATATAACTTGTGCGATTGAAAATTGATTTTGATAATATTTCATTCATTTTTAAGTTCTAATTCCATCAATTGTCTCCTAACAATCTTCAAAATATATTCTTGTGTTCGAATCAACTTTTGAATATTTACAATTTGGTCTTTAAACTTTGGATTTTGCCATTTTTCACAATTTTTCGCTTCTTTCTTTTGATTCTTCGTTCAACCATTGAGTTTTACCTATATAATATAAAATACAACGATTTAGGATATATATTTTTAAAAGAACTACCAAATATCGATATTTTAGGACCCCAAATAAGTGTGTAAAATACAAATCATTTACCAAGTGAGAAATATCATACGTGATGGTCTATCCGTAATAACGATATCTATATCTCATTATTGATTACGACCACGAATAATTTAAAATTCAGTTATATGTGATTTATATCTCACAATCACAACTCATTGCGACTAACAAATTACTAATATTTGAATTTATAGACATTATTTAATTTATTAGAATATTAATTTAATTAAATAATAGATTTGTCATGAATGAAATTCATTAATCATACTATTAACATCCAAAATTGATTAAAATGTCTTTTGAAAAAAGATTTTGGGTAAGTGTAAATACCAAAATAGCCATGCGTAAACCAATAATTTCTTTCTAATCCCTGAAATACCCTTTTCAAGTTTAAAAAAAAAATAAAATTTGAGAGCATCTTTAAGAGATTATCTAAATGCAAAATGCTCTTTATTTTAGAAAGTCAATGCTTAAAAAATGACACAAAAGAGATTCTATATTTTAACTTTTTTATTGAATTTGACTCTAAAAATTTAGAGTCAAACTCACTCTCTATAATTAATGTACAATTATTGCAGTTAATAAATTACATATTTTAATATTTTACTTCTTAAACTATTCAAAATACATTTAAATTGATTGCTCAATTGACATATAAAAAATTATGTTAAATAAAATATGAATAAAAATCAATAAATGTTTCTTAAGAAAAACAAAATAAGTAAAAATAGAGAGTTCGTTGGAGTGTATAAAAAATTTGATATTCTTAATTTAAATATGCTCTCTATAATGCATAAGAAACTCCTTATAAACAGTCTCTCGAAAATGTTCTAAAACTTTGGCCATTGCATTTTGACAAAACTCGTGTGGACCGCGTACCACCTAAGGTACATGCCACGTGAATGGAATGTGAACGGTCTCACACTTCTTACTTGAATACAGAATCTTATCTACGAATATCCTTTCACTTTATTACATCCAATAATGTATTATTCGAGAAATATGAATGCTATGCTATCAAAATAATTAGCTTTCAAGACAATGGAACATGTAGTTGCCTACTTTAATCAATGAACTCGTTAATTCAAATAAGGTTAGGTTCCTCCTCAATCCTATCGAAAGTAATAGGTACGTTAGGTTACTCCTCTCAACCCTATCGAAAATAATAGGGCTAACAACCCTATCGTGTAATGCTTAACTTGAGCACTAAAATTTCCGGAGACGTGTATAACATGATTACTTTAGGAATAATTTTTCACAAATAATACATTATTTTGTTACAACATTAGATAAACAAAAACCGACGAGTAATAATACATCGACAAAACATGCAACATAATTCATAACCTAAATATATGTACACACTATCATCATAATCCTCTTGTGACACAAGTGATTAATCAGAACTCCAAAATTAAGTCACTTATATAAATGAAAAGTTGGGACCGTGAGTGATTCAACCCCATTTTCTGAACGCTTAGCAAATCTTCCTTTGATTCTAGGTCTGGTTTCTGCATAGGCCTTTCTTGATGCATATCGTATTGTCTTCTCAAATTTTCTGTTCTTTCTTTTCTCTTTATACCTCAACACCTTAGCTTCTCTGTCGATCCCGGAAACCGGGTTCGGGATCCCGTCATTTTTCATGTGTGTGTCGGATACATCGGCTATCGAACCCGGGTCCGGGACCACGCCCACTTCCAAAGATGATGATGAGACCTGCCATTGTTTGCAAAACATATATAATTGTTAGCAAAATATTAGAGTAACTAGTTTTGTTTTGGTTTCTTGGAATTTCCCTTTGACGGTTTTCTAATGAGTTAAGCTCTAATCCCTAGTTCTGAGGGGTCACGCTATGTGTACATAGGCATAGGGGATTAATCACATAGATTAATCCAGTTCTGAGAACGGTAATAACTAAAATACAATAAAAACGGAAAATCATTGCACAAAGTCGATCACAAGGACTATTTTCAGGGTCCGAAATGACAATTTTTGATTGACAGCATTTTCTTTTATTTTTTAAACCCTCAATGAAATTTTGCCAAAGGTAAATATGTATATAACCCTGTCATTGACCTTTGTTCCCATAACATGTCTGATATAAAAGATAGAAAAGTAAGTTTTGTGCACACGGAGATTGTACATGTAACATTACAGGGAGACAGATGACGTTAATTCATTGGATCTCAAAAAAAAAGTTTTGTCCCAACCAATCCTCCTCTGCTACCTGTCTCCCCGTACAATCTCTCTGTACAAGGAGATTAATCCTAAAAGATAATACAATTTTTCCCACAGAGCCTGCACCCAAAAACAGCTCCCGTGAGTATTAGGTCGATAAGTCAGGCATCACACACACATTTTTGTGATACAAAACTCACTCAAGAACTGATCCGTGACTCGATAGAACCATTGCAAGACTTCATTACCTTTTTAAAGGCTACACCCTAATAAAACATGTGTTGTAGAATAGGTGAACATATGAACTGTCATGGATCTATGCTAGAGAAAATTAAAGAAACTGCAGATTTACTTCAGCTTTTAGCCCATCACAATTACTATTAACAAAAAGTTGCTTATCCAAATAAATTATAAATCAAATTAAGAAACTTTTAAGCTTAGCCAAACATTGTGAAAGCTACTTAATTAGCTAAACAGCACTCTAACGTCAACTCAGGTTAAAAATATAGACAGAAAATGTGAAAAACAGATGAAGAATTTGGGTTAAAAAGCATACACTTTGACTGATGGATTGGGAGTTGAAATTGTACATGAAGGGCTTAGATCCAGTATTATAATCCGTATCATAAGTAGGAAATCCATCCACGACCGAACCCTGAACATGATCCTGCTGAAAATCATTCTTGTTTTGCACTGGCACAACCCCATCAGAACTGTACTGGCACTGCTTTTGATCATCCATATGGCGTTGTTGCTTCGAGTCTCCAGAAACTATATCGAGATCCAGGTATGGATCCATGTCGCTGAAAAAATACTCGCTCGACTTGTATTTTGGCGAGTCGAGATCATCATCCTGTTACGTAAGGGTAAAATCAAATATCAGTTCCGTTATAAATATGGAAAACAGTAATTAACTTTTAAGGAACAAGATTCATATATATATATATATACCTCTGTGGTTCCTCCTTTGTTATGAGGCGTTGGCAACAACCAGGAGGCGGCCTCAGCCTCGTCTTCAGAGAAGTACTTGTTCTCGTTGTTGTTATTAACCTGTGATGACTTGTAGAAGGGTACGAAGGGGAGGCGTTCGTGGCGTCGGGCAAGTGGATTCGCGGAGTGTATGTCACGGTCACAGTTGGCGCAGAGAGCCGCCGAGTCGGCCTTGCAGGTGACGATAGCGGGTGCTTGCTCACACACATCGCAAACCAACACCCGAGCATGCTGAGACGCCACCTTGTTGGAATCGTGCACCCTGGCGTCGCAGCCGTGACACAAAAATGCCGTGTCGGCATGGCAAAAAACACTCGCCGGCGATGATTTGCAGGAATGACATAGCTTAGCCGTTAAACTCCAACTCTTACCTCCCATTGTTATTCTTCTCTGTATGTATCCGTCTCTCTCTATATCAAATTTTTTTAACTTCTTTGTGAAAAATACAGAGAGAGAGAGTGGCGATTCAAAGAATTGTACTCAAAACTTTCTTGGCGTCGTGTATAATAATGCAAAGTACATAAGCCTCCGGACAGCTATCTAATGGGTAAGGGATCTACGGAATAACGAATAAGAAAATGACATGTGGAGAAGTCTTAGCCAAGTAAAAACACAATGCGAATTTATATTTTTGGGAAATTGGAAATGACATTGAAAATGAATTTACAAATCACTATTGTCAAGGTAGAGGAGTCAAAAAAAAAAATTTGATGTAAAAAGTGTGAAAACCTCTCCAACGAGAGGTCAAATATAGTTACGAGCTACATTAAAATTTTTATGTTTATTTTTCTACTCATTTTTAATCACATAGTTTTTAATAAAATAATATTTGGAAAAATTTCAGAAACAAGAGCACAAATATCACATATTTCAAAACTAAAAAAATAAGTTTCAAATTTCAAAAATCAGACTTTTTAAAAATTTTATTTAAAAATTAATTTATTAAATATATATTTAATATATTAAGGTCACAATTATATGCAATTTGATCACAATTCTATAATTAATTAGTCACAAATTAATTTTCGACATAATTTATCAGAATTATTGATCACGACTTACTTCTCGGTCACGAATAAAAATTTTATTGGTTACGAATAAAAAATTTATACAACACAATTTTTTTATCTGTCACAAATCACAAATATTAAAAGTCATGACTTATTAGACAGTCGCAAATTATCAAATTATCGGTCACAAATTAACTATTTTTTAGATCACACGTTATTTTTTGATCACAATTTATCTTTTTATTGGTCACAACTTATTTACTAATCACAAATTAAGAATTTTATAGGTCACAGTTATTTCTCGATCACGAATCAAAGTTTTTATATGTCACATATTGTTTATCGATTACAAAATCAAA